AGGGTAAAAGTAGTCATTAAAGTTCCATATCCACCAGGAAGAATGATGAAAGCATCACAACCAGATATCATAGACATCAAGCAGTCATAAATTGAAAGAGTTATCATCAAAGTAGCAGAATCTTTGACCACCTTTGATGAAGTGAGATAAAAAGGAAGGATACTTCTCACCTGGATATCAAAGCATTTAGCAGCCATTAAGAGGTTGTTAAAGAAATAGATACTAGTTCCTCCATAAAGTATGTTGATGTTATGTTTTCCAATTCTTTCACCAGTTGGCTTACAACATAGATGTTGTGAGGAACATTTACAAATTTAGAACCACCAAGAATGCACACAGTTCTGAGGGGCTGAAGAAGTTTAGAACCTTGAGAAGACTCGGCAGTAGCCATTTATTATGGGAGATAATTGGCTAAGAAGATAGATTTGCCTTTTAAAGAAGAGAAGTCCCGACAAGAAAGCAGCTGAGTCTTAAATGACTCTTATCTATCAGAAGCAAATAAGATTTATATACAGTACATCGGTACTATCAAGAACAATGTTGACAAACATGATCATTGGAAACAATATTTTCCAGACTATAGAGTTTTTCTTCATTTTTGAATTGAGTCCATAAAGATATGATCTCTCGATGCACATATCCACTAGGATGTGTCTCAAGAATCTGTTGGAGAGTTTTATCCATAGATTCCTTACTCAAGACATCCTTTATGAAAGTTATTTTATCTTCTCGGTTGTTAGACAAAAAGCCTACCGATTTACATCGGGTGTCGCAATTCAATCGAGCACATTTGAAGCATCCGCCTAATCGTTTTGCTCTACGTTTCTTTGAAAACGTACTTCTACCCATACCTGATAGATATTGGTGAGAATTTGGAAATTCTCCAGATAGTCGGACTTTTGCTTCAATCAACCATCGGAGATCATTTGGTATACTATAGAGCATTAGCACTCTCAATCTTTTCACTCGATATTGATAAATTTTCTTTATGATATTAAGTGGAAGAAAAGAATAAGATCTGCGAATATTTGAGAGTGCTAGATCCATTTGTTAGTTCGGACCATTGCTGAGGAAGATCGTTGATTTTTGCAGCCAGTTTATAGGCAGATGATGCGTATGAGATACGCTTATAAACAGTGTAACCGACGTGCATGATAGATGATTAGGCATTATAATATACCAAGTGTCTTCATCTGCTATCAGAGTGCATTTAATGCAGCCGAAAGCAGATGTGAGATGTCGGTAATAATGTTATTTCGTGATTTATTGCGATGACTACTGATATTTTAATAGCTGATCAATTGGTGGCGAGAAATGAAGAGAGATGTAGTAGAATTTATGAAGAAGTGTTTGGTCTGTCCGCAAGTTAAGGCCGAGCACAAGAGTCCCATAGGTCTGCTACAGTCAATTGAGATTTCCAGTTGGAAGTGGGAAGAAGTTACTATGGACTTCGTCACGGGATTACCTAAGTCGTCAAAGCATCATGACGCAATTTGGGTAGTGGTGGACAGGCTGACGAAAGTCGCACATTTCATGCCTGTGACGATGACCATGTCAATGGATCAGTTAGCCGAGATATATACCAGTGGTGTTATACAACTCCACGGAGTGCCTGTTTCGATTATATCCGATCGAGATTCCAGATTCACCAGCCGATTCTGGGAGAGTTTGCATGAAGCAATGGGAACCCAGTTAAAGTGCAGTTCGGCTTACCATCCAGAGACGGACGGACAGTCCGAGAAAACGATCCAGACGCTCGAGGATATGCTCCGAGCCTTGATTCTGGACAGAGGTGATAAGTGGGAGAAGTGGCTGCCACTAGTTGAGTTCGCCTATAACAATAGTTATCAGGTGTCTATTCAAATGGCACCCTATGAAGCGCTTTATGGTCGCAAGTGCCGGTCGCCCCTTTATTGGGATGACGTCGGAGAGCGACGAGCACTCGGTCCAAAGTTGATCGAGGAAACAGTTGAGCAGGTAGCCTGGATCAGAGAGAGGCTCAAGACAGCTCAAAGTTGGCAAAAGTCCTCAGCCGACCAACATAGACGCGAGATACATTTCGAGCCCGGAGATCATGTATTTCTGAAGGTTCGACCGATGAGAGGTGTCGTTCGTTTCGGGAAGAGAGGGAAGTTGCATCCTCGTTATATAGGCCTGTTCGAGATTCTCGAGCGAGTGGGCGAGGTTGCATATCGATTAGCTCTGCCTCCTGAGTTGGCTGGTGTGCACAACGTGTTTCACGTTTCGATGCTACGCCCATACGTGTGCGATCCCGAGCATGTGCTTCAGCACAGCGAGATTCAGTTTCAGCCAGATTTGACTTACGAGGAGTAGCCTGTAGCAGTTCTGGATCGAAAGGTCCTTCGGCTCAGGAACCGAGATGTTCCACTCGTTCGTATCAAATGGAATCGCCACGGAGATTCAGATGCCACATGGGAGCGTGAGGCAGACATCAGAGCTCGTTTCCCAGATTTTCAGTTCTGATTGTATTCAGTCGTATTTTCCAGTTCTTGTATGTATTTCTCCAATTTTAGTATTTCCGAGGACGGAAATATTTTTAAGGGAGATAGATTGTAACAGCCCAAATTTTGTATTAATAAAAATGACAGTTTTTAGTTCTCAGTTGAACTATTTCTTTTTATTAATACTGCTTGTCTTTATTCCGAGCCAGTTATCAGCTATTCAATCTCAGTTATTAATTCCGGTCTATTTATTTTATAAATGGATTTTATTTAAGTAGGAATTAATTATTTCAGTTGACGAATAATCGAAACCGAGTATGTCTCGATAAATCGTTCAAAGTGAAGCCGTGTCCGGAACCGAGTTGTTCGGTCACGAGTATCGCGTCTAGTTCGCGCCTAGCCAATTCTCGAGCCTTAGTAGTCTCGAGTCTTGTTTGAGCCCTAGCCGTACTCATAGCCTTACTTAGAATATTTTCTAAGTATGAGATCATTTTTATCGAGCCTTCGATATCATTTCCTTGGGCAAGTACACCGCTCCAAGTTCGTGCACGGGTCGCGTCCTAGTGCCGCACCTTAGCCTCGCGCGAGTCAAGCATGGTGCACAAGTCATGGCCAAACACTTATGGTATTTTTCTAAGTGTTGTGAGACTCATTTCAGCCCATAAAATCAGCCCAATGTCATTTTTCCCGAGCAGGCCATTTTTCCCGCGCAACCAGGCCGCGCCCTCGTGCCCAGCCCGTGTCACAGCACCCAGGGCCAGTGCCCAGCCCGGGACAGCGCCCAGGCCCAGCGCTGGCAGCGCGACAGCCCAACTTCAAGAGGTCATTTCACATGTTTTCGGCCCAATTCTTTCAGGGACCAAAACCTCCGAATGTTATACACTTGATAAGGTTTATTTTGAGCTAAAGTGGCCCTAGGGAAGTTAAGCCCAAATCAATTTTCATGTGAGTCCAAAGGAGGGTCATGTGCATGGAATAAAATAATGGTATGTGTCATACCTTGTTCCCTCATGTGCACCAGCTCGACCAAGACCTGTCCAAGGCTTATTTTAAGCTTGGATGCTCTGCCATATGCCATCAAAACGTGCTAGGAAGCTTCCCTAAGTCAACTATCACCTTGCATTTCATGTGAGAAGATGGTATGGGACATTTGTGTCTCCACTTCATGACCTTATCATTTCGTCCTTATCTTTCATATTGGGACATCCTATAGTGAGTATTGAAGCTCTTGGGCACATCAAACACTTAGCAATATTGAGGGAGAAGAGAGAAAACCGAGAGCAAAGTCATTGTCCCTAGCCGTGCGCGTGTTCCCCGGGGAAGAGGAGTGCTCGTGTATAGCTTGTTCCAGCCTAGTTATCTCGAGGCTTATCATTATCCAAGCTTATTTTGGATTTTTCTAAGTCTCTTGAAGCTATCCTCCTCAGCCATTCAAGCCCCAAAGTCGAGGTTAAGTTCCTAGTGCCGCAAGATCCCCGAGCAAGGCCCATTTGCACCATTTCGACTTTTGAGCAAGCTTGAGGAGTCAGCTACCAGCACAGCCGCACTTATTCATTTTTCAAAACCGATCAGGTGGGGACCCAGTCTGGGTTATACATTGAGTATAATAGTCGATATCACGTTCAGGTATGTATATGAGTTTTATCCGCTTGGGGTTAAGGCCAAGTTTGCCTTCCCTAAGTTCTGGTGGTGGCCCAGTTTGCCCTAGTTATACCATCAGAGTGTGCACATGGTACCGGCCAGAGTGTCCGGGAGTTACCGGCCAGAGTGTCCGGGAGATTACAGTTACCGGCCAGAGTGTCCGGAAGTTTCAGTTTACTTATATATACCGGCTCTGTGATATCATCATTATTATTGCTGTTTACTTTAGAATGGGTTTTTATGGAGTACAGGTGGACCGTACTCACCCCCACTTTATATTTTCAGATAACAGGGTCGGCGGGCAGGCGTGAGTCGAGCTGTGGTGGTGGTGGTCGTGAGTTCCGCACGAAAGCTGTTCCAGGGACATTTGTTTAAACTGTTGTGTAAACTATTATAACCACGTATTTCAGACTTCTGCTATGCTTGCGTTTATTTCCGAACATGCATGATTTTATTTTCAGACTTAAATAATTTAACCGGTTCGCCAGTACGAACGGTTCCAGACTAATATGCATGATTCGTTAAAAATATAAACCTGATTTCATTAAGTCTAAACCAGACGTTAGACTTAGGTTAAATAATTGGGTTTTTACGCAGAAAAGTCCTCGGCAGCATTCCGAGATAGTTTGGAAATGATTTCGAAAAATTTATAAGCATTTTCGAAAGTTAAAATTTGCGAAAATTTGGCCCTAAGTAGCGGGGTGTTGCAGCTTTGGCTCTTTGACATTCAAAGAACAAGTGCCCCACAGATTCACCTATTTCTCCACAACAATGGTAGATTTAGTCCGCTTCCATACCCCTTCTCATGAAATTCATGTTCACGGGAAGATAATTATTAAAGCATTTCCAAATAAAATGTTTAAGATTATTCTTTACCTTCAACTCCCAGCATCTCTGTCAGGCTTTCTTATCCCTCTGCATGGAGGAGCTGCTTCCAGGATTGTCAGAGTGAGTACTTTCTTTAAAATGGCAGCGGAATAGGCTGAAACAACTGAGAATGTGCCTTTAGTATCTTCCTGCCATTACCATTTGTCTTTGGTGTCAGATTCAAGCCTTTCATCTCCAGAATAGCTTTATTGGAAGCTTGCGTGAATATGGAATGAATTAAATCTTCGCTCCAATACCTGCCATCAGTCGTTAGTAATTCATGAGCCCATGTCAGCTGAAAATTCACTATATTCACATTTAAAGAAGGAATCCATGTACTCAACCCAGGAACCCATGGACAAGATAGGATTCTTGTGTTCAGGCCATCATGAATCTCTCTCATATATCCCTGCTTGTAAATAGATAGAACCCTGATCTTGGAACTCCACAGCCAAGATGAAGATCCACTCCTTTTTTGCTTCAAGAACACTACCAGAAGGGAAGTACTTCTCCCTTAGCAATCTAATCATCAAACTGTTTGGTTGTGTATGTAGCCTCCAAATTTGCTTTAGAATCAATGAATCATTGAACACCCGTATATCCTTAAACCTAATCCTCCTTCTGTCTTAGGAACTGCATATCGTTGGAAGCCGCGCACCATCTCCTCGAAACCTCGGTTCACGGTTTTCATTAAATCCCGAACCGAAGACTTGGTCGTGTCGAGCCCTTTGCCTAGGGTATCTATAGCTTCACTCATGCTCCGGACCTGAGCGTCTAGGTTGTCGATCTTGTCCTTCATCTCTTTGTTGGCCATAGCTTTCTTTTCTTGCTTTCGTTCTTTACTTCGAGGACTCATCTTGAAGATTTTTTTTTTTTTTTAATAGGGGGAACGAAAATAAAGAAGAAGAAAAGGAAAGGGAATGGGGTAGGAAAAGACACACGATCTAGATACTCTCAATGAAAGCACCAATGATGAAGATCGCGTGTCCCGATTGCCGATAAGCCACAAACTCGTGCCTTGAATCGCCGATAGGTGCCTCGTAGGTTCACTCAACCACGCCCCTTCGAAACGATAAAATTGCAAAAGAAATCTAGAAGAAATCTATGGCAAAGTGTTTGAACAAAAGTTCGGTTTTTCTATTAATTTCTGAATCATAAAAATAATAAGAGGAAGGGCCTTTATATAGGCATCAAATAGATCTATTCCTCATCTAGCTATAACACTAATAAAGCAATAAAATATTAAGTATCCTAATCAATCTAGAAATCATAATGGAATAAGGAAACCAAATAACTAAGGGATCTTGAAAAGCCTTGACTTGCACTCCAAGCCAAAAAATCCCAACCGCCCTACTTGCCGCCTTTGGACCCCCGCGCGCCTTGCCTTAGTCCTCGAGGACTAAGGTTGCCTCGCCCGTACTCGCGCGTGCCTCCCCGCCGCGTGACTTGTTCATGTCCTCGTGCCCAACGGCTTCCCCGCGCGCGTCCCTGCCACCCGAGGCTTTATCGCGCGCGTCCCTCGCGCCTGCCGTGTTCGTGCCACTCGCCTCACCCCTCGCGACCGCATTTCGCCCACGCGCTAGCCGCGCGCTCTCTTCTGCCAGGTCCCCCTTGCCGACCGCGCATGCCTCGCACGCGATGGCTTGCGTCTCACCCGCCTGCCGCGCTAAACCTCTTGCGCGCATTATAGGCCCGGCTCGAGGCATTTTTCAGTTGCCTAGCCACATCCGCATCATTCCCGTCCCCTTCAAGCGCTTCCTTGTCCTCAAGGATGAAATCAGGGAACTGTTCGCGCATTTCTTCTACATCCTCCCAAGTGGCTTCTTCTGATGGCAGCTCCTTCCACTCGACTAACACCTCTCAACGATAACGTCCAGCCTTCCTTACTTGGCGATACTCGATCGCACGGCTTGGCCTTACGATTGCCCGCCCATCTGTGGCTGTCGCGGGTAGTTCCTCGCACCACTTGTGCGCTTCACCCAAACTTCTCTTGAGTTGCAAGACATGTATGACCGGATGAATGTGCGAACTCTCCGGCAGCTCTAGGCGATAAGCTTCAAAATCTGGTAGGCCCGTAATAGCGCACCCCAAGCTTAGTCGCAGCCCTTTGTGCCGTCGTGCGTTGTCTAAAGGGCCGGAGTTTCAAGTAGACATGGTCGCCTGGCTCGAAACTTTCCTCGCGCCTTTTACCGTCATGAAAGGTTTTCATGCGGTTAATCGAGCCTTCGACAGTTCTCTTTAATTCTCGTAACATTAAGTCTCTCTCCTCAAGTTCTCGGCCTACTTCATCGTTGATCGCAACTCCTTCCGAATAATTCACGAGCGTAGGTGGTTTGTGCCCGTACACAAGCTCGAATGGCGTAGCCTTGGTCGAGCCATGGTAAGTGGTGTTATACCAATATTCGGCCCATGGTAGAAAGTTTTCCCACTTCTTCGAAAAATGATGCACATAGCATCGTAGGATTGCTCTAGCGTGCGATTAGTCACTTCGGTTTGACCATCCGTCTGTGGATGATTGGCAGAGCTCATCGACAGCTTGGTCCCTTGAAGTTTGAAGAATTCAGACCAAAAGCTACTCATAAAAATCCGGTCACGATCAGACACAATCGACCGTGGCACCCCGTGTAGCTTCATGACTTACTCAATGAAGAGCTTGGCGATAGACTTTGTCGTGTAGGGATGCGTGATCGGTATGAAGTGCGCGTACTTCGTCAGCCTATCGACCACGACCATCCCCATTGAACCCATTAGAGGTAGGAAGCACCTCGATAAAGTCCATGGTTATGTCTTCCCAAATATTCTCGGGCACTGGCAAAGGCTGCAATAGACCACCCGGTCTTCGTGCGTCGGCCTTAGTGCTGGCACTCGTCGCAGTGCGCGACGTATTCCCGAACCGCGCCCTACAGCCTCGACCAAAAGAAGGTATTGGCCATTCTCATCCATGTACGGTAGAACCCCGAATGTCCTCCAATTTTTGAGTTGTGAAAGTGCTGCAAAATTTGCTCGCGAAGTTGCCCGCTATCGGGCACCAACACTCGTCCTCGGTGCAGCACTAGACCGTTGTGGAGCTCATAGTCAGCTACCGTTGCTTCACCAGCTTCAATTGCCCGTAGCAATTCTTGACACTGGGCGTCACTCTCTTGAGCCCTCCTAATCTCTTCCCATGTGGCCCATGTCGGTCCAGTTATGGCTTCGAGCTCGGCGACATCCGTCCGTCTCGACAAGGCGTCGGCCACGGCGTTTTGTCGACCCGGCCAGTATGTTATCTTGAAGTCGAAGCCCATAAGTTTTGAGACAAATTTTTGCTGCTCGGGCGTCACGATTCTTTGCTCGAGCAAGTGCTTGAGCGGCTGTTGGTCGGTTACGATCCGAAAGCGTTGCCCCAAAAGATAGGGCCTCCAGCATCGTACCGCTTCTACAACTGCGAGCATCTCTTTCTCATATACTGACAACCCTAGTCGGGTCGTGCCAAGGGCCTTGCTGAGGAAGGCCAAGGGACGTCCTTCCTAGACTAGCACCGCACCAATGCCCACATCGCTTGCATCCGTGTGTACTTCAAACAACACATCAAACCTTGGCATAGCTAGAACAGGCGTCGAGGTCATCGCGCCTTTAAGCTTTTCGAATGCAGCTTCGCTAGCTTCGGTCAACTTGAATCCACCTTTCTTGGTCATCTCGGTCAGTGGCTTAGCAATGGTCCCAAAATCCTTTACGAACTTCCGGTAGTATTTCGTGAGCTCTAGGAATCCTCGCAACTGTGATAGGTTTGTTGGTTTGGGCCAATCGACCATAGCCTCGATCTTTCTTGGATCGACTTTCACACCATCATGAGAGATAAAATGACCCAAATGGTCCTTGAAGATGGAATTCATAGCAAATTGAAAGGTGGATGGGGCGTTGCATAACCCAAATGGCATAACCAAATACTCGTAATGTCCTTGGTGCGTACCCGACCCTAAAGTCGAGCTTAGAGAAATAACGAGATCCTCCTAGTTCATCGAGCATGTCGTCGACACTTGGTATGGGAAAGCGGTCCTTGATTGTCGCGGCGTTCAATGCTCGATAGTCAGTACAGAACCTCCATGTACCATCTTTCTTCTTCGCTAAGAGTACTGGCGATGAGAACGTGCTTGAGCTATGCTGAATGAGCCCGGACTCAAGCATCTCGCCAACTTGCCTTTCGATCTCTGTCTTCTGAAAGCGAGCATACCGATAAGGATGTACGTGCACGGCGTGTTGTTCGTCGGCCAACGGTATGCGATGATCGAACTCTCGATGCGGGGGTAAACCCTTGGGTTCGCCCAGCACGCGGTCGAACTCCTCGAGTAACGCGCACACCTCGCCCTACTGCAGGTCGGACTCGGTGATGGGCGCGTCCGCGTTCTCGATGACTACTGAAAAGATTTGGCCGCCCCCGCGCCAAACCCGCTCAATGCTCTTGAGACCAACCTCCTTGGTTCCACTGGTCTCACTTGCCTTTAGCGTGACTTGCTGTTTTCCCTCTTTGAACTTCATAACTCCAGTTTTGTAGTTGGTGGTCACTTCCCCTAAGCCTTCGAGCCATTGGACTCCTAACACAACGTAGGGTCCAACCAGGGGTAATGCGTAGAGATCGGCCTTGATGGTGACTCCTTGGAACTTGATTGGCACCCTGCGATAGGACTCGGTGCACCTGAGCCGTTCTCCATTGGCTACCCGGACCTCGAACGGTTCTATTGCCGTCGTGGGCAATTTTAGCTTTTGGGATAACGTGGTGTTGATGAAATTATGGGATGACCCATTATCCACGAGCACAACCACACGGCGGTCCTTGACCCACGCCGGTAGCCGCATTGTCCTTGGGCCTCGAGTCCCCGCCATTGCGTGCATCGAGATTTTGGCTTCATCCTCGAGCACCTCAACTTCTTCATCGCCTTCCTCAATCTCGGGCTCCTCGTCATCCGTGTCAATAATGTCTATCACGAATGCTTGCTTACATCGGTGACCCGGGGTGAATTTCTCTTCGCATTTGAAACATAGCCCCTTCTCACGTCGACGTCTTATCTCCTTGAGCAATAATCGCTTGATCTCCGGGTTTGGTGGTCGCGTGCTGCTTGGTGGCCTGATGCTCGGTGCGACATTGGTTGTACGTAGCGGCTCGGGGAAACGTGCGTCCGCCCGTTCCCTTTGAGTAGCGGCGAGATGATCGTCACGGCGCCGGGCAATCTCCATGGCTGCCTGCATCGAGTCGGGCCGCTCCAATCGAACCTCCGCGGCTAGATCATACTTAAGCCCGCCGATGAATACCCCGACCAACGCAGTCTCGGGACAATCCCTGACGTGACAAGCTAGCTTCTCGAACTCCTTCAAGTAATCGCGCAGGCTGCCGGTTTGGCGTATGCGCGAAAGGGCCTCGTCGTCGTTATGGTAGTTGGAAGTCCCGAAATGCGTGAGTAACTTGCGCTCGAAATCACCCCACCTAATAACTCGCGGCCGTTTGCGGTATACGTTCGTTAGCCATTGCCACCAGACGTTAGCCTCGCCGTCTAGG